CCAGGTTGGACGGGGCTCTGAGCAACCTGATCTAGTTAGCGGTGTCCCTGCTCCTGCAGGGGGGTTGGACTAGATGACCTCTAGGGGTCCCTTCCAACCCAAAACATTCTATGATTCTATGATTCAGTCCCTATCCCTGAGCGAGCTGCAAGATATGCAGAAAGATTACAGCTGTCATCTGAGCAAAATTGCAAGGTGAGCAAATTATCATCACCTCATTGCTCTGATGCTAGGATACCAGGACCAGTGCTGAGTCAGGAATTGGAGGGTAAGAAAGCCCAGCAACTGGGATCTCTCACTAAGGACCGAGGAACCGATGAGGGGATCAGAAGAGGGGCAACAATCTGCAGCTTCTGGAGGTGACTACTGTCACGCATGAAGGCAAGGTATCCCCTCAAGGAAGATCTTGTAAACTACTGGGGCAAGTGGACTACCATTGAGGGAGATACCCAGCATTAGGAAATTGGTGCTGGAGGTGATGTACAGCAACCTGGGCAATAACCAGCACTCCACAGATCCAGGTGGAGTCCAGTGCACACAGTCAAAAGTTTGTACAGAGCACACCAATGTTGTATGTCATCACCCTGACAAAAATTGTACAGACATTGAGGCACCAACTGTAGACAGACAGTCAGCTGGCCAGCTCTGGCAATACAAAGAGAATCTCTCTACCTCCCCAGCCGTGTGGTCCTGTGTCTCAGCTGTAGAAAAACTGTCCCAAAGGTTCCAGCAAATTCAAAACGAGTATGTTTTCCTCCTCACCCACACAGGTCGATGTCTTAACTATCAAGAGCATCACATAGTCAGCCTTTCTCCTCAAAGGAAGGGAACCATGCATGACCATGGGGAGGACATGAGGAAGTCGGACGGTGCATTTACCTCAAACCTAGAAACTTGTGTACGTGAATTGCAAGGAAAAACAGCAGCCAAAAAGGGTCCGTTCAGGAAGATGACTGCTCCAGTTGCTGTTGAGCAATTCCACAGACACAGTGGAAGGACTGATCCTACTTCTGATCCTGGTTTGTAATTACAGGGGTCAGGTAACTAATGCTCTGACCAGGAATAGAGGTCAGCCAAGCCAATAGAGGTCCAGCCAAGTGGAGGAAAGGCATAATTGGGTTTATTGGACTGCATGGATTCAGTAGTCTGGCATATTGGACCCACAGGAGTATAAGGCTCTGCTGGATACCAGTGCACAGTGACCCTAATGTCGTCAAGATACAAGGGGACGGAACCCACATGGATTTCTGGAGCGACAGGATAATCTCCAGTTATCTGTGTTGGAGGCTGAAGTGACTCTAACAAGCAATAAGTGGCAAAAGCATCCTATTGTGACTGACTTGGAGGCTCTATGCATCCTTGGCGTGGACTACATCAGGAGAGACTACTTCAGGGACCCAAAAGCGTACCAGGGGGCTTTTCCTGTAGCTACCATGGATACAGAGAGGATCAAACAGTTGTCTAGCTTGCCCAGCATCTTTGTGAATCCTTCTGTGGTAGGGTAGCTGCATGTCAAGGAGCAGCAGCATGGGCAGGGGGAGTGAGCAAGCAAGTGGGTGGGAACATAGCTGCCAGCAGGGGTCAACCCACCACAACACCTCTGAGAAGAGCGCTCTCATTTCTATAACCCTTCTCTGAGTAGTGAGAGCAATTGGAACTCTCCATTCATTCCTGGCTGAAATGCGCTTTTATTCGGCAGCCGAATTCTCTGGATGTTATCTTCTTTTTTTCTGTCCCACAAAAATGTGGAAGTTGAGTGGCTAAGTTCTGATAGATGGCTGCAGCTCAATAAAAGAGCAAGTGAAATTTTAGTCTTCAAAACTGAAAAGATTTTTTCTGAGCCACTCATTCCAAATGCTATGTTCAGTGATGGATCATTTTTACAAACTAAAATAATGTTGTCATGGAGTAACAAAATTATTTAAAATGTGAGTAAGAATCACGTTTTAAAACTGATTTTTCAAATTTATTAGATATTCTCATGTTCCTTATGTTAATAATTAACTTTAGGATTTCAAAATGCAAAATCAGATTTTTAAACTTCATCTTCTCATTGCAAATTATACAGAAATACATTTCTGTGGTCTAAGGGCTGGGGATTCATGGGATCTTTAACAGTTCAACTGAAACATCGAAGTTAAGAGTTTGGGCTTCCTGCATTGTCAAAAGAACAAAAGAAGGACCTGTTGTCCAGAAGACTCATTATTCATGTAGGTTCTTAGCGCTGGGAGAGAGGCATTCAAACCTAATCAAAGGGGTAAAACACTTTACAGTACTCACAGGCTTATACTTCAGAGTGTTCCAGGATTATGACACACTATTCGTGAGTGAACTCTGGAGTCAGGTGTCACCTCGATGTGATTCCCAGAACTGTAAATCATGCCTTCACTCTGAATTAAACACTGGGAGCTTATATCATTGTATTCTGACTTGTAGGCAGCGAGTAACATTTGAGGAGATTTTACCATCCTCTACTCCATTGCCTGCTTTGGATCTTCTGAAGAAACTTTTAGTATTTAACCCTGATAAACGACTTACAGCAGAGGAGGCTCTGCAGCATCCTTATGTGAAAAGGTGAGAGTAATACCAATCTGCAGTTTCCCCTGATGTCTTCTGAGATGTTATAGACCTGCTCTTGGCACAAGTTTTCTTTATATGTGTGATTAAAAAAAAAAAAATGAAGCTAATTCTTAATTTTCTCTAAACCCTATTTACACTAGAGGTCACACTAGATAATTTCTCAATCCTTTTAACATTATATTAATCTGTGGTGCTGTTTTGAGTCTTAGTGAATTACATTATGTGTTATCATCTTAGGTTTCATTGTCCTGCCAGGGAGCCCTCTCTGGATTATGATGTGGTTCTTCCTTTAGGTGATGATATCCAGCTGTCTGTGGCAGAATATCGAAATAAATTATATGAGGTACTTTCCCTTACCCAATTTTCCAAAATCCTAATCCTCCAGGTAACCTGCCATTCTTGCACACACTTAATGATTCTGTCATTTTCTTCTATTTGCATTCCCCTAGGCTTTCCATACATGCTTACAGTTATGTCTTGGTGTTTCTTATCAGTCAGTTCAATACTGTCATAATTTTTGATAGGTCTTTAAATCTAAATTCCCACTGGGAAAAGTCTGTAAAGCGTGATGTCTGAGAAAGACTGTGTTAGAGGAAAATATATTATGCTGGATCCAACAGTCCAAGAGAGGTGAGGCTGCTGCCACTCCATGTCCCCAGGTCCAGCAAGTAGCAAGGCTGAAGATGTATTCTCAGTAGGCACACACACACAGAAAACACATACGCACTATGTACATACATATATGCATGTATACATGGCTGGCCATGTGGATCACAAACAGGCACTCGGAGCACTCACACAAACATAGACAGCACCAACAGCCTTGTTATTTTCCATTCTCTTGCTGAGCAAGTCCACTCGTGAGAATATATCTACAGACATATAAGGTGGATCGCTGCAGCAGCTGGTCTCAGACACTCAATCTGCTCGGTAGCTGGCCCCTGGATCCCAGGCTCCTCAGTTGCCAGCCCTTGGCTATACAAGCCAGCAATACTTGGAGACGTAAGGAGTGGGGGTTAGCAGAACTGCCGCCTTGGATTTCCGGAGGGCAGACTTTGGCCTGTTTAGGAGCCTGGTTGACAGAGTCCCTTGGGAGGCAGTCCTGAAGGGCAAAGGAGTCCAGGAAGGCTGGGCATTCT